TTGAAGATTAGTGATCATGACATTTCGTACAATGTTCTCGCGTTGAAAAAATTTTTTCGCATAAAAGATGCCGGCGACATAAAAACGTGACGTAAAAATGTCCTCTCTATAGCTATTTTTTACGTGTGAATGTTGTCGGGTACGCAAGTACGTTTACCACCACGACCACTAGGCTATAAACTCCAATGATCTACCGGGAGATTCAGATGTCATGATTTACCTTTGTCCTCGTGTTCGCTTCCCTCTCCATTTCTGCATGCTTGCACCTGTTTCTTCAAAGTTGCTATCTCCCTTTCCAAATTAGCCTTGTCCGCTTTCCACGTGGTTTCCTTCTTTTTAAGCTCCTGCGTGGTGGTTTCTGAAGGTATACAGTAATCCCCGCAGTAAATATCGTAAACATACACGGCTCACTAAGCATCTCCTCGGCATCGTCCGCGATTTTCTTCAGTGCTGTGAACTCCGTTTTTGCACGACTCCTTTCACCATTCATCTTCTCCCGCTCTTGTTCGAAAATGCTTTCGAGCTTTTTGTACTTGATTTCGACTTCGCGAACAGATTTTCGATTTTGTTCCAGCTCCTAAATCGTAATCGCAAGAAATACCCAACATTCAAAACCGCAAGAATAAGATGTAATTTGATGTACATGTCAAATCATTTTCCAGTAATATTTTGCACACCTGTTTCTCTTTCTTTTGCTCTTCGAGGTCATGCTGTAGCCGATTACATCGCTCCTCTTGCTCCTCCATTGCTCTGGTCTTCTCTATCAATGTGAGGCTCTTCGACTGCAGAATCTGGCTCTGCTCCTCCAGTTGCCTCTTAGCATCAGCTAACCGCACGCTGAGGCCTTTGATCTGCAAGTGGAAAGTTACGAAATCGGACAGCAGCATACAAAATCTCTAAACCTCGTTTTCGAATATTTGTCTTTGCTTCTCAATTTCGATCGTCCATCTGTCCTCAGTTTGGAGAATCTGAAGCAGCCCGAATTCATGTACGATCTGAGGGGGACATGGAGCAATACATAGGAGCAAAAAAGAATAAAGAATATAGTCTTTCAGCACGTTGTCCTATGAATGCTAAAATTGTTACATGGTAGGACAGCGGCTGCATTGCAAAAATGTAACTTTTCACCTACCTATTGTTTTTGTCAATTTTATCAGTTTTAGGCAATTATGGCTTTAGGATGACCGATGGCGTACAGAAATAGTTCAGAGGTAAAGGATCTAGGCCAATAGATCTGCAGTTAATAAAGTGTATCATCATTGCCGACATTTGCCGTCAAGAGTGCGTGAAAAAAATGCTTTGCGTAATGCTTTTAATTTGGTGCACAAAATGGGCGTAGGCAGATGTTAAGATTTCTTGCCCTCTGGCGATCCCTTGACTACATAAATCGTCAGATCTACTAGCCTATATATAAGATAGGGATAAACGTCATTTTATCGGCTTCTTGCTTGCGCGAAGCACACAGTGCATATCAGCTAAATTTGGTAAGCACTCAGAAGTGGATGTAGAACAAAATGGAAATTTCTAACGCAGGGTATGATTGATAAAACAAAGCACACGATGCATATCAGCTGAATTTGAAGACACATAGTGCCATGTCATAACGTCTTTTGCTTCCGCAGAAAAACTGATTTTGCAGACGAATCCCAAAAAATTATAAGAGACAAAAACATAGATTTATCCTCTAGATGTTGTCGCATTTAGTGAGGCATAGCAGGTAGTCGAAGACTTTTCCTTTGAAAGATGATGTCATAAAGCTTAGCAAAACCAAAGCGATTTGAACAAACTCAGTTTTTGCGTTTCCCATTAATTCAGAATCTACAGTTCATCAACTTATCTAGTTTCTGTTCCAGATTAGTCATAGAATTTGTGCAAACAATAGCAAACCTGATTAGTCAGATCCTTGTTTTTCTTTTTGTAGAATATAACTTCGTTCTGTTGTTCGTCAACCACTTTTTGATTTTCAGCACACTTTGGACATTCCACTGAAGGTGACGCATTTTCCCTTGATGGAGATTTGCGCGCCAGTGATGTACTGGTGGGCTAAAATCATAGGGATGATAAGCTGGGGAAATTTCCTTTTTT